TAAATATGGCGACAAAGATGAGGACAATAGTCCGAAGAATGTAAATAATGTACATAATACCTCATCTCAGAAATATAGACAGACTCTGAAGCATCGTACAAGGATACAATTGTTTGATACCAAGTGTAACACACACGACAAATGTCGTGTGTGTTACACTTGGTATCCAACAATTGTATACTTATACGATGCTAATTTATATTTGTAAAGATATGGAGATTTTTAGAGATCCATTTAAAGCCCATATGTATCGATGTTTAAAGATATATATCTACTGACGTCTAATTATATATACAACGATTTGTGGTATATCATGAAATAACTTCCCTTCGCTGGATCATTGCGCCATTATTTTGGCTTCTCATATCTAAATCAAATGCACGTTGACTTCACACATAAAAAAGAGAAAACAAAATCTTTAGTATCGTCTTCTCAAGTGAACTTTCTCGTTTGGTTTTCGCTTGGCCTACAAGAAATTATTTGAGAAAAGTGACTTTTCAAAATGGCTGTTACCGATGTGGGGGCTTTATTGCTTGCATATCCATCTGCAATGGTTTTTTCCCCCAATGTCATTTATTCAAGCACTTCGGGCCCGATCGTTAAAAAGCTATGAAAAGTGTTAGCTGCCCTGGGCGTGGCAACAATACTCCTATCTCGAGAGCCTCCTTGATGTGCGCCATCTCTTTAAAACGTATTTTATTGTCTGAATACACCGAGAAAAGGGTGGACATAATTTACTCGTGAGTAAAAGGTAAGTTGAAGTGGTTCACCAGTTAAACATTGCTTATTTACCCAGATGACTCGATTTAAAACAGGCTAACTGGTAGGTGTGTCGTTTACAACGGCATGCATTGGTTCTTTTAATGTTGCAGATAACAAATATGTCAATGAATATATCAATCAATTATGTTATTCACTTCAATGCAGGAATTTTTTCAATGTGTTTGTATCATAGCGAAACAGTGCAAAAAAATGTTGAAATCGAAAATATGTTGAAATCGAACTAAGCGTGTTAGCCTTATTCCTTTCAAAATCAGGTCAATCGATGTAGAAATAAATTTGATTAACAATGTTAATTTTCTCTGTTAATTTGATCTAAATATATTCTTCCAATGTAATGACAGGTATCAAAAGTATTTTCATTTTTAAAGAACTTTCTTCGATACATATTTCATGTATAAATCTAAAGACTATCTACAACTACTATCTACTGTTATATATATTTAAATTTTGGAACTACCAGCGTCTTTCGTTTCGTGCGCATGTGTAGACATGGCAACATCAACAAAGCCCAGTCCGATGAAATCTTAACGGATGAAACGCGTCACAAAAACTTTTTCCAATTTGTCATACTATTTTTTAAATACTGTTGTTGATATAGTAAATTATAAAAAAAAATTTATATATATATATATATATATTATATATATATATATATATATATATATATGTTTGTTAATGCTTAGACATGAAAAATAACATAAAATTATTAGAAGCATCGAAAAAGTAATTAAAAAATAGTCAACAAGGAATTTTTTTGCTAGATTTTAATCAAACGTGCATATCTATCATCTATCTATGAACGAAATGTACATTGACTTTCCTCATAAAAGAGAAAAAGAAAATTTACAATCGTGTATACACACACACACACACACACACATATATATATATATATATATATATATATATATATATATATATATATATATATATATATATATATAAGGAAGTAGTTATAGTTGTTCCAGCGAGAGAAAAGTGTATATTTTAAAAAGAAGATAAACCCTTTTTGGTTGAAATGTTGATTTTTTTTTATTTTAAAATATATATTATACTCTATTTTCCATAATTCTGCTACACGGGTTTCTGGTTTCGTGACCTTCTTCAAGCAAAGAGTTGATATTTACTCTGTCATTGGTATTTCTTAAAATCGAATAAAAACTTAATTCGAAATGAAGTATAAATGGGTATATATCTGAATCTATTATGTGACATAATGTTTAGAAATCAAATGATGAATCAACAGTGTTATTTGATGGAAAAAGAATATGAAAATCTCCTAAAGAATATATAAATATGTCGGATTGAAAAAAATTAGAAAGCAGAAACATTGCTAAGGAGCAACAACAATAGAAAAGAAACCAGGTAGCCATTGCATTTAAATTTTTGAAGTTAACTGGGAAGAGTGGATGCGGAAAAGAATTCCGGTAGCAATATCAGTTTAAATACAAGTTGCAGGGCGTTGGATAATGTAATTTTGATGATAGCTTGTGGTTGAAACTCGGTTTGTGAATAAGGTAAACGTTTTTTTTCTTCTTTTATAATATTAACCTGCTCTACACGGTCTATTCTGAACATCGTATTGACCACTTTTTAAATATCCGTATTTGGCCTTGAGTTTTTTCTGACTACTACTTATATATCTATCTATCTATCTATCTATCTATCTATATATATATATATATATATATATATTGCAGCAAAAAAAAAATAATTTAACTCAAACTGTTCTGTACACGGCTATCATCAGCACCTAAGTGTCTGTCTCGGAGCATTGTTTTGCATTTATTTTCAATGCCAGTCCTGCTCTGGTAGACACCTTGTTAATGAGAGTGGGTTTGTGTTAATAATTGTGTTAATTACTATGATCCATCCGGATCGATTACCTGTACTCTCTCTCTCTATATATATATATATATATATATATATATATATATATATATATATATATATATATATATATATATATCAAATATGTTGCAGTTCAATTTATATTAAAATGGCGAAATCATTCATACAAAAAAGAAAGAATTAGCCATTTTATATCATATAAAATTACTAAATCTACTTTTTTTATGAAAATTTCGCCATTTCGCCATAAATTGAACTGCACAACATATCTGATTTAAAAGAGCCGATCCGATGTGCAAATTTTCGGGATAACAACTGAAACATTATTGAACAATTTAGTTCCAACCACACTGACTCATAAACGCCTACGAAGAAACTCATATATATTTCCAAATGTAAAAGAACGAAAAGAATATAAATTCAAACGTTCATAACATTAATTTAAAAAAGGTCTCAGTACAAGAGTGGAGCAATAAATATTTATTATAAACTTTTACAGTGGAACATGCCAGTTACCGCGACAAAAATGCATATTTGTTTCTACGTCCTAACACCATTAGACGTTTTTGAACGTCGAAACAAATATGCATTGTTAGCCGCCTGACGGGAAGTTTTTGGACGTCGAAACAGATATCCATTTTTATCGCGGTAACTTGCATGTTCCAATGTAACAGTTTATAATATATGTATATATATATATTATAAAATCTTATATTGAAACATGCAAGTTACCGCGACAAAAACGCATATTTGTTTCGACGTCGAAAAAAACGTCTCGTCAGGCAGCTAACATTTGTTAACTGCCTTATGAGACGTTTTTTTGGACGTCGAAACAAATATGCATTTTGTCGCGGGTAACTTGCATGTTCCAATATAAGAGTTTATAATATATATATATATATATATATATATATATATATATATATATATATATATATATATACTGTGTGTGTGAGAAGTGCGAGAAAAGTAATTGTTAGCACAGAACTTACGGTTACATAAAGCCAATTCAACTGTAAAATGATGAGACCTTTCTACCAATCGAGTACTGCGCTTAAAATAATAAAGTCTAGGTACCACAGCGAAGAGTTCATCCACAGCGAAGAAAAGGTACATGGAAACAAATTTACGTCGACTGGAAAGTGGCACTTTGATGTTGTCTGGCCAGCTTTTGCGTTGTCGTCCCCGCATGCCTCCGCTTTCAACAAGTGCTTTGCAGAGGTTGTTATGCCGTGTGACGGGGCCAAACTAGGCCATCTTCCGACGCTTAATACTAGTGAGGAGAAATTCCTGACGGACCACGATACTTTTGACTTTACTCCGTACATAATCATTGCTTTTGTGCTCCGAGTAGGAGTTACTTTACCAAGGATTCGTTCTCGAACGCCTGGATCCTTTTTCCTGCCTCAACCAGGAGTATCCAAGTTTCCCACCCGTAGAGGAAAATGGACAGACCAACGATTTGGTATTGAAGATGATATTGCTCTTCCATATCCTTTCCTGTCTGGCTGTCACTGTTGTGGCTGTGGTGTTACGTGTACAGTTTTCTGATTTGCAAGTGGCATCATTTAACACGATTGCTCCCAAGTATTTTTTACTCTTTGTCATTAAATTTCCTAACATTATAGGCAGCATATCTTCATTCAAACATATTTCATTGAAATTCATTTTTATACTTCTCCCTTACAATTGTCTAATCAGTTTCTTCATGTTAAGATAAAATTTAGTAAGGAAAGCGCTGTAGTTTTTTTTTTCTAATCCAAGTACTTTCGATCTTTTACAAGACCATCTTCAGGGGTAAATTATAAAGACAAAATTATTGTAATTGCGATAAAACCTGCATTCCGTTGTGATGGATCAATATAAAAATAAGGAGACACGATATGTCTATATTATTCAATGAAACACACACACACACACACACACACACATATATATATATAACATAAAATATGGTTTTAAGATATGCCATATTTATCGATAAAAGTGCTCAATATCAGGGATAGAGAGTATGTAAATATTAAAGTGGACACTAGTGTCAACATCGAAAGGTGACAGTCTGTTTCATGCTTAAAACTAATCCTCAGGCTTGAAAAATGCGTTCAAGCATGACACAGACAGTTGCCACTCGGTGTTGACCTCACTGTCCACGTATATATATATATATATAAACACACACACACACACATATATATATATATATATATATATATATATATATATATATATATATATATATATATATATATATATTATTATTATTATTAATGTAATTCATTTGTTATGAGGTCATTTCCCACCGATTCCGCTTACTGCTTACTTTTACCGACAGCTCAACTCTCGACGTGGGCTTTTAGCGTGCAAATATGTTGTCTGTTGTTTGCCACAAGCACTACAAATACATATGGGACGCCTTACTCATACCACAAGACTCTTTTCGCTTTCGCCTTTTCCCCTCCTTTTCTTTTTCTTTTTGTTTACATTTACTTACAGTGTACAGTTTATGAGCGTTCCGAAATGTTCCACCAGTGCTATGGAGAACCGCTATCACCTAGGCAACGAACGCCCCCTCTGTCAATATATTACCCACTCAACCCTGCACCCCAATCTGTAACTTTTGACTATTAACAAGCTTTATAGATCATTATCCTGAAAACCATAGTACCTAAGGTACTTTACTTTAGTCCCCCCCCCGGGTCTCTCTCACTTGCGATCATTTCTTTCTCACTCTCGCATCTCTCTATAGCACCCTGAGTGTCTCTCGTATCAGTCTAGCAGTTGTTAACTATATTACTTAACTTAGGGTCTGAGGTAGTTAAGACTCTAATGGCCGTTGTTAGAATAAAGGTTATAATTAGAAATTGGAGTGCTGACGTTCAATGCAGGTAGCCATTCTTTTCGGAAAAATAGAGCAAGAACATTTTTACTCGCTATAAATTACACATCATTTATTTCGATTAACCGCGTTACTTAGAACGATTACACCACTACTTATGTAAGTGTAAAAAAAAGTCTTAGTTGCCAATAATTGGCAGATGGCTATAAACTGTCACTTGATTATTCATGGCTGATTTGTTTAAATATTGCACTGATGATTCTTTGCGCCACGTGATAATAATTGTAAGTAAAATGATAAAATAAGTAACCAAGTAATTGTTTTAAGTACTCTGAATATCGGTGCTTTTCCTTCAGTTTTCGCTATTATCTATTTCTATATCTAATTTATTTATTATTTTTATACTAATGTTTACCTAGTACAATACCCAAGAGTCACTCAAGGTAGAGGGTTACTGTATTGTACGGGCGTTAAGAAAAGCTAAGATGTGAAGTTCATGGGGTTATGCGGGACACTAGGCTTGAAGAGGTCAAGCTTGGAGTGAAGCGATAAAGCTGCGAAAGACGCACGACGTTTCGTCTGAGGGAAAGAATTTGTAGGGTGGAAAGTCGTCACCCACAATGATACGTAGACTCTGTTGAACTCTATCAAGACAGACAGGTGGGGACTGGGCAGCTCCAGCACAGATATCGTAGTAATAATTCATTTTTGGTCTGATGTGGCTATCGACTGAGCTTTGAGCCTTTGCCATATAGAATTCGATCTGTTAGGCCTTCTTGAGATAGGTGTACGTTTATTTAGGGTGATTTTGATCTGCGCCAGAGCCTACATTTTCAAATGCGCGAGGAAAACAAGCAATTCTTCTACAAGTCAAGACTGGTGTAATAAGTTGTATCGCTTTCTCTGTAACCCTCTAGCTCGTGAGACCGCAGGGCCTTGTACAAGGTTAACACCACTGTAAAAAACAAAAAATAATTTCCCAATTCCTACAGAAGATATTATATTGTTATAGTTGTAAAATCTGCAATACCTACATCAGTAATATCTTTACAATGTAATCTATCTATCTATCTATCTATCTATCTATCTATCTATACACACACACACCTATATACAGAGAGAGAAATAGAGTCCATCTCTCGCTGTCTCTCTCAAAGAGTGAGAATATATATATATATATATATATATATATATATATATAGAGAGAGAGAGAGAGAGAGAGAGAGAGAGAGAGAGAGAGAGTATCTCTTTTCATAAATTTTCATTATTCGATCATAGATAAGTATTGTGAATATTTATCTATTGATAAAAAATATTTCTCTAGATATCCACTGAGTACTCTTATAGATAAAATTCTTCTCACCTTGACATACATGAAATTACATAATTTTACGCATATCAATAGGTGTTGACATTATTATTATTATTATTATTATTATTATTATTATTATTATTATATGTTATGTTTCTTTCTTTGCATCCTGTAGAGTCGGGTCCAAACAATGGTCCTCATAGGAGAATTGTCATTTAATTTATAGCACTTTTCTTAGTATATGGGATGTTCGTAGTAGGGCTATCTCCTGGGAAACTTTTGTGTTGATTTTCCATGGGACAATGTTAGTAAAATTGTGCATCATCATCATTATTATCATTAATTTTATTTTCTTTCATTTCTGGTATGTACACATTTCTTTCCGGGTCCCGACCAGAGACCTAAGATCAGAAATAACATTTTCCACTGACCAATTAAAAAACAAACAAAAACACACACACATATATTTTACATACATAAAGCCCTTCGTAAGGTGTGTGCTGTGCTTGTGAGGACAATATTTTGTAAAGTAGTAGGGATCCCTTCAATGAGTTTATCAGAACCATTTCCAATCAAACCCAGAGCAACAACTACAGATATATAATTATTGATGTCTTAATGTGCTACAACTTTGAGATTTCCACATCAGGATCCTTGTATGTCTTCAAAGATACATTACAGTGGTCAGGAACTATCGTGTCAATAAGAATGCATATTCGGTTTTTTGTGGTCTTTGATCACTATGATTGGGCGATTACTTCGATTATTCTGTCTTTGTGTTGATAAAATTCCGTAAAATTGTTCCAGGTCCAATGTCTGTAATCTGGTTTAGGTGGTTTCATAATTTCTTGGCGTTTCTTTTCTGTAAAGATTGCAAATTTTCCATTGTATATATTGGTCCACTCTGTCATGACAAGTTTTATATTAGGTGAATGCCAATACCGTGCAACCTGATACAAGATGGTCAATTGTTTCTGGATATTCATCGAAGAATCTGCATTTCGGGTTAACACTGTGGGCTTGGTAATTTCTCTATGCAGCAAAAATAAAATCTTCGGTTTTAGTTTTTTATCCTGCACTACGCAACCACTAATGGGTATGAGGTTTATCTACATCAGCACGTTTGGCACAGACACAGTACTGACCATAGAAACGGTTTGCTTTTTTTACAGCGAGATTCACCCTTTACAAGGGCCGGGGGTCACTCGATGTAAAGGGTTACGTTTCGAGGCCATTTGTCTGTATAGGAGTGGAAGATGACGACCAAACCTAGTCTTGAACAGGTTAAGATTGTAGTGATCGGGGAATCATCTAGTTGGGTGTCGGTTCCACAGGGCAATGTTTTGCGGGAAGAATCTGCTCGAGTGAAACTTACTTCTCACTGATGGAATACGGAAGGGATGCGGATGGTTTGATGTGGCATGGCGCGTTCTTAATGAGAAGGTTTGCCTCGGCGCGACCAGGTAATGTAGTTCGTCCGAGCACTTTCCGTGGAAGTAGCGGTAGAGCAGTGAGAGGCTTGCCACATTGCACCTGTGAGAGAGAGAGGTTGAAGCGTGGAGAATAATTCGTCACCCACAAAGGCCCGGTGACTCTTTTAATTTCTATCAATGCTGGAGTATGATGTATAGACAGCTCCCGCTCAAATATGACAACAGTACTTCATTTTTGGCCTGATCTGGCTTTTGTAAAAGTAGAGAATATCAAGAGGAGTCAGGTACTTATTGAAGCGGTACAGAAAGCCGACCATTTTACCTTCAGCCTTAGCAAAAGATCGTATGTACGAGTTTCACTTGAGGTCGGGTGTGAGTTTGAGACTGTTGAAACTTGAATAAAGCATGGAATAATAATAATAATACAACACAAAATGTACTGAAACAAAATGTATTGAACAAAGAAAGTGTACACAATATTTACAGAGAGTTTGGTATATTCTTGGGAAGACCGTTCCTGTAGAATGGGTTGACTTTAGTCGCAGTCGGGCAGAGTCTCTGGATTGGATCTCTTCTTCCTCCCCCGTCTTCCCGGTACCAACCATATTTATATGGTCGGTACTCCACTATGTAAATTAGGTGGATCGTACCACAACAGAGACCCAACAGACTTTCAAAGCCACGGTGTTTCCCCGAGAGGATACCCTGATTGGTGATAGTTCGGGGTCAGATCGGCGATGATGGAAGCTAACTGACTTAGTCTGAGGCATTACTTTTTCCTTTAGATTCTTTATCGCATCATTGGGTGCATTATGCTTTATTTGCTTTTCTTCATTCACTTGAAATTACCTTTTAAATTTTTTTTTGTACTGAATAAAGTTTCTTATTTCTTTCATACTTTTTGGCACAGATCATCATCCAGTCTTCTGTAGTTTCCAGGTATCTTCGAAGGCCGATTGTCGTAGTTTTGTAAGACAATCCTAGATGAACTAATCGTCTGCCTCCTTTGAATATATAGCCATCTACAAACGATCAATTTCGCCTATATTATTATTATTATTATTATTCACAACTCAGTATAATCACAGGCTTAAAATGTCTTTAACAAAGTAAATTGTTAAATTCGCTTTTTAGTCAAGGCGTCCTAGTACATTTGAAGATTTTTCATTGCAATTTATTAACACGAAATTTCCTCCATTATTTTTTTCTAATTATGAATTAAAAAAAAAAGCCCAAAACATTCAACTCGTGCACCTGTTAGATAGCTTAATGCAGGGATCGACAAACTTTAAATTAGAAACCAATTTTTAAACCAAAAACAAAAAAAGTAAATATATATACAATACCGTGCAAAAATCTTAGGACATTTGAATCTATTGTAAATTACTAATAATTATCGTCTTATAAGTAGATATTTTCGTTATGCAATCCACAGATGAAACTTTGTTCATATTGGAGTCATTTTCTCACCTAATTATCATATTTTTAGCAAGGCTTCTGAATAAGAAAGATGAGAGACAACACCCCAAAATAGCCGTTCAAAATTCTACGGCCACCTTACATTATTTGTTTTCTCTTTTCTGTTCTACCGTTAAAGGACAACTATTTTTTTTTTCGGAATAGGACTGATTTTTTCTACATATACGTTAAATCCTGACATTGAATTCTTGCGTTACTTGAAATCATAGCGAAAATTTTCCAAGAAACCAGGATGAAGATAGTGAAGATGGCCAAGAATATGAACTAGAGAGCAATCGATAAGGAACTTAGAATGTCAAGAAGCGGCATTTCATAAATCTGGAAGTCTCATAACGCTGGAAGTGTTTTGAATCGACCAAACTATCGTCGCCTTCGAAAGCTGTAGCATAGAATAATACGATGACTGATCAAGGCAGCAAAAAACTCAGTGAAAAAAAAGACTTATAGACAAAAGGTGGATGAGTGCGACTTTAGTTTGGTGTCAGTAGATCACAATAAAGTTCACTTTTCAAGAACTGAAAAGATGAATTTCAACGAAGAGGCCAGTTTTCATCAAAAAGCATTTGAAGACAACATTTAGTTGGTCAGGACGGTTTGAACTGTGGCATGCAGATTCTTGGAATCAGTTCACATTCACCGATGAAATCAAGAATGGAACTACCAAACTCACATTTAGAATATAAGCGTGAATTTGTCAGAAGGCCGACAGGAAAGCAAAATGGCCGACATTAAACAATGAAAACAGTAAAGCTTTGTGGGTAAGAGTCTGATGCTTTAGGGTTGCATAAAAAGGATGTTTTAAAAAAACTTGGTTAAAATTGATGATAGCTTGAATCTTGTTGCTGAAGGAATATTTGATACCAGACTTGGATGAAGGTGAGATTTTTAGCATTACGGAGCTGCATATCACAGATTGCATGCAACATAGCAGAAACTGATTGATGAACGCATCACCGCATAAAAAGCTTGGTCTTAAGTTAAATCATAGATATAAGTAATGAGTAGAAATCATCAGAAGAATCCACACGATCTTGAGTTGTATGAGTCCAACTACATGGAATGGTGTCTAGTACATGTGAAGAGGGTGAAAGATTTGTAAGCATTCCATACCAAGCGCATTGACGTAATTATTGAAGCCGCAGAGAGCCACCCAAAATATTAACAATGTGCATTAAATTCTTGAAATCAACATTATGTAATCAATTTTTAATACAGACATCATCATGTTTTAAACATCATCAAACTAAGTTTATGTAAGATGACCGAAATCTTTTGCACAGTTATTTTTGGGGGTCGTCTTGCATCTTCCACGTTCCTTACTAAAAATATGATAATTGTTATGTTTGGTATATCTCTCTGTGTAGTAGCAGTCGTAGCACAGTACTCCGTGTTACGTTTAGCAAACGGGTTTGCTAAGCAATGCCCTTATGTTCACCAATTGTTCCCTATTTATACTGGTCAATCTCATTTCATACTACAATAATTAAGTGTGAAAATGACGCCAATAGGATCAAAGTTTCATCTGTAGACAGCACAATAAAAATAGACCCCTTATAAGGTGGCAATTATTAGAAACGTATAATAGTTTTAAATGTAATAAAACTTTCGCACGGTATTGTATATAGATATATATGATTTATATATTCCTTTTCTTATGTGGATTTTCTAAGCATAGCTTAGATGTGTCACAAGGCCGGAAGTATAGGGCATCCATGGAGGATCAAACTCACTATTCATTTATAATGGATCTAGCTAGACAAGCTTACTAACCATTACATAACTTTGAACTTCCCAATTTATTTTTTCTGCAAGACCGGTGCAAGGATTTCCTGGGCCCCTACCGAATCTATGTTGCCTTCTGCATTCAACTACTTCTAAATTTCCATAAGGTAATATTCATATAAAATACACATTTTATTGCAGCGTAATTATGAACGAGAAAAATTGAAAATAAATACAATGTATATAAAAATAATTTTGATATATGTCATAATAGATCATTCCATCTTAAATCAATGTTTTACTGAAATTTTTAAAATCAACTTGAGACTTTTATTGTTAAAAAGTTGAATAGTTTTGACGAATTCAACTTAATGAATTTTATATAGTGTTTTTCGAGACTTAACACGAGCAAAACAAATTTGGATGAAAAAAAACAAAAAAACAAAAAACAGAATGCCGTTAACATCTGCGAAAATTTGTCACACAAATTATTTCTATCGCAAATACAAATAAAGTTATAATTTTTTAAAGTGCACACGAACTTTATGGACACCCTGTATAAAAAAATGTTTCTATTTTTTTAAGGATCGCTGAGAACTTTTGCACACATATTATGACTAGGAAACATTTTTGTAAGTGAAAGACCTTGAGATTTCGTTAATATCTATTGAGAGTGCATGCAAACCGAAATTTTTATAATGGCTCAAAAAACACCGGTTCGCGTACGATCACCAAAGTTAAGCCCTGTCGAGCCTGGTCAGTGCCTAGATGGGTGACCACTTAGGAATACTAAGTGCCGTAAGATCATTTTGGAGATGGTGTAATGGATAACGACTCAAAAATGGAAATCAGAGAGCCGAATTCTAATTATAGCTCGCCCTGTCAGCTGGGACTTCAGAATACGTCGACTGCACCTCTGCAGAGGGCTAAGACCCCCCCCACTCACCTAATGAAGCGCCCTGGCTGTGACGATAAACTACTTCCGGTAGCAAGGCCTCTGATCAGGAGGTTTTGAGGAGCGCGGAACCATCTCTTAATTGCTGCTATTCCCTGATCCACCCTGACCCGGAGTTGTAGCACCTGTTAGGGTCCCAGATATGGGCAAAAGTTAACCCTCCAACTGGGGTCAAAATACAATGAAAGTTTAAAAATAACTTTTAATAGCAGCAATACACTTTTAGAAAAAATTATTACCAGCAATAGATTCTTGAAAATAAAATATTACCAGCAATAAAAAAAAAATTGTTGGCATTAAATAACCCATTGAGGTTGACGTAAAAGCAGACAAACCAAACCAATTCTAGTTTGGTTCGATATAATCATCTACGCGTATTTACTGCTGGAAAAGATAGGAACCCACATCTTCTCTCCTCAGCTATGGGTTAATTAGTAAAACTTGTCTCAGTAAATCGTTATTATCTTCAAAGATCTCTAATAGTTTAAAAAGGTTTTCTGGCTTTAAATAACCTGCAAAATGTTGATGAGTCGTAAAACACAAATCAATCAATCCTGAATTAAAATTAATTAATTTCGGTAACGAATATCAACGGCATGACTTTCTAGGGATAAGCATAGACCTCTCTTCTTTCAGTCGTATATGCTAACCCTTGAAAGATGCTCACGAATGGTAAGTGTCAGAAGAGCAGGATTAAGTTTCTTTACATGGTCAAATTTGTTGAATACAAAACAATCATATATAAGCCTAAATAACAGTGTTGTCTTACAAAAATCGCGTTTAGCTCGCAAGTAGACCAGAAAATGATTTCTTTGTTCATTGTTTGCACTTGAGAAGAAGAATTTTCGGAAAAATGAGAAAATGCAACCCTTAAGAATAAGTGGCAGGAGGTGGGGCATTTGAAAAGCCCTGACTCCGACTGCAATTTAATTCTTTGTCTTTCAGCTAGAAAAAAAAATCTTCGCATCAATAACCAACCATTTAACCACTTGCTGAGCCATCCGTTCAACGAACCAGCCAATCAAACGGACTTTTCCTTTCGGCAATTTTCGTAACTGCGCATAACAATACTTTCTCCGTGTTATTTTAGACAAATCTCAAGAGCCTGAAGTCATTAACGAATTAAATCTGGAGGTGAAGTGCATTTCTGTGTATTAAGAAGTCCATATCATTTTCTGGGTTATTCTTTCTTTCTTTCTAGTTTTCTTTCTTTCTTTCTTTCTTTCTTTCTTTCTAGTTTTCTTTCTTTCTTCCTTTCTCTCTTTCTTTCTTTCTTTCTAGTTTTCTTTATTTCTAGTTTTTTTTCTTTCTTTCTAGTTTTCTTTATTTCTAGTTTTCTTTCTTTCTCTCTTTCTTTCTTTCTTTCTTTCTTTCTAGTTTTCTTTCTTTCTCTCTTTCTTTCTTTCTAGTTTTCTTTCTTTCTCTCTTTCTTTCTTTCTTTCTTTCTAGTTTTCTTTCTTTCTAGTTTTCTTTCTTTCTCTCTTTCTTTCTTTCTTTCTAGTTTTCTTTCTTTCTAGTTTTCTTTCTTTCTCTCTTTCTTTCTTTCTTTCTAGTTTTCTTTATTTATAGTTTTCTTTCTTTCTAGTTTTCTTTCTTTCTTTCTTTCTAGTTTTCTTTCTAGTTTTCTTTCTTTCTTTCTTTCTAGTTTTCTTTCTAGTTTTCTTTCTTTCTTTCTTTCTTTCTTTCTTTCAGACGTTTCACTATTTTCTTTCCCAAATAGCTTTCTTTTATTTGTTAGATTGTTTTTGTTTCTTTTTGCAGTATCTTTGAACATAGCTTTTATGCAACACTTGTTTTTTTTCTTCTATTAAACGTTATCATTTTTTTCGAATAGTTGCCTTTTTTCGTTCTTTTTTCAAGCGTTATATTTATTTTCTTTTTTTTTGACACATTTTTTTATCATTTCTTTCATTTTTCTTACTTTGAAATATTATGTTCGTTCTTTCTTTCTTAACATTACTTTTTTCTTAATATTTTTTCTTTCTTGATATTCTTTCTTTCTTTACTTCTTTTTTCTTAACATTTCTTTCTTTTTTATATTTATTTTTAACATTGCTTTTCTCTTTTTAAAAACATTTTGGGAAAATTTCGTTCATTTTTTATTCTATTATTTCTTTCTTTCGTTTAGTTTTCTTTCTAATGATATTATTTTGAGATTTAAAACGTTTCATTCATTTACGTTGTTTCTCTGTGTATTTTCTTATTTTGAAAATTGCGTTTTTATCTTGTTTGTGTTGAAACGTGCTTTTTCTTTTATTACAATATTTTTAAATGTTTTTTTTTTTCATTTTTACTTTTCTTTCTTCGATGCATTAACCTTTTTTTGGATTGATTTTTTCGGTTTTGTAACTTTTGTTGAACCTTTCTTTTTGAATATTTCTTTCATTTTTTTCAAACAATTTTCATTCACATAATTTTTTTTTCATATTTTCAGTTTTTGTTCCTTAGAACTTTATTTACTTTTATTATTTTTTCTTTTATTAAACATTAATTTTCCGCCATCTTTTTTTTATTTGAACGTTTTTTTTTCAACTTTCATTCATGCTTAGTTTTAAAAAAATTTCATCTATTTTCTGTGTGCCAGTTTTCTTTCTAATATTATTTTGCGATTTAAAACGTTTCATTCATTCTTCCATTTTTTTTTTCTCTGTGTATTTTTTCATTTTGAAAATTTCGTTTTTATCTTGTTTGAGTTGAAACGTTTTTTTTTCTTTTTGCAATCGCCTCATTTTTCTGCCTGGTTCTTATGTTCCCTTACTCTTTTATTCATGACTAGCTTTACTTCTTCAATTATTCATTCATTATTTTTATTTGTTTCCGTAGATCTCTTTCCTTTCTCTATTCTTCCTTCAGTCGTTTGTTTCTTCTTTCTTTCCTTTCAGTCCACCTCATTCTAAATCTTTTTTTATGCAAGCGCTAAATCATCATCAAGTCAACCTTTTGAACCCAGAAACGAATGTCCGCGGGAGCCCAAATCATCAATGGCCGCCTTCGTAAGCGAGGACAGACATGAGTGGAGGATGGTCACGTGATCAGATTAACTATCCTAAGATGTGCTAATGGTAATTTGAGAGACGAAACGACGAACCAGGGTTGGATTTCGCCACACAATAGCCAACACCTTCGTCTCTCGCGGTCAGAAGCCGAATCCCCAAGGACAGCGACTGACTAGAAGGCCGAATATTATCAAGTAATGAGATTCCGATTTAAAGGAATGTAGAGGGTTTCGGCAAATATGGCACTTTAGGGAAGGCCACCCATCATGGGGAAGGGACACGTAGAATTTAGATTTTTTTTTCTTTCGTGCTTAATAACCAATTTCGTATAATATGAAGGAGAAATCTGATAGTGACTAACATCTTAGGATTTAGACAAATACTTATCTGTTGTATTACAATCGATCTCTATCTCTCTTTTTAACACACACACACACACACACACACACACATATATATATATATATATTATTAAATCGTAAGAGTTTTATGGTACTTTTCTCGGTAGTTTACTGGTAGAGAGGCATTTTAGGCAGGCAGGTTTTTGTCATAAAGTGCTCGATATCTAGAGGTAAAGATAGAGCGTTAATAGAAATAATATCATTGGTATTATTGTTTCAGTCATGCCGATTTTGAAGTTTCATGAGCGCATTGCAGTAATGCCTTCACTCTTCAGAGAATCCAGCAGCTCTGAAGAGTAAAGGCACTACTACAATGCGAAGTCGGCATGACTGAAATAATAACACTCAGTGATAAGTTTTTCCCATGAATTATATGTATATATATATATATATATATATATGTGTGTGTGTGTGTGTGTGTGTTTGTGTGTGTGTGTTTGTGTGTGTGTGTGTGTGTGTGTGTGTGGAGAGAGAAGATCGATTGTAAACGAGAGTAAATAAAAATTATCCGCATTTTCGCCATAAAATCTTTTATGAGTGCAGATAATTTTGACATATATATATATATATATATATATATATATATATATATATATATATATATATATATATATATATATATATATGTGTGTGTGTCTGTGTGTGTAAATTCTTGGATGAGTATTACCACGGAATTTGTAAATGGTGGCGCTATATCACGTTTATTCAGTTTCCTCTCCGTCATCGAGACCTGTTGGTACAGTTGGCATGACGCTTGCGTTATATCGAAACGTTATGGGTTCAAATCTCGCTAGTTGAGGCACACTGATGATAAGTCCCAAAATAGGACGATACGGCCTTCCATTTTTTTTCTGCATTCTGTTGAGGATTCATCCACATTTGATTAATTATTATAATAATTTTTATTTATATATATGTGTGTATATTTTTAATATGACTTTGAATATATAGTTTATTTCATTTCTTTTTCTCTTGTTTATGTTTTCATTCGTTTTCTTATTAAGTATCCTACATTATGATGACATAAGTTTTGCCGAGTAAGGTGAAATGTCTTAAGAATCTCAACGCAAATTTACAGTGGATTGTCTAGCGATTAAAGCATTTTTTGTGCACTTTCATCTTAGTAAATTCCTTATTTTTTTTTTTAATTAGCATATTTTTTAAATCGAAAATATGGTCAGTCTCATTACGGTGAGCAATGAATGCACTGAGTGAACAGTTTGGTAAAAGATACTTTTTATGTTCATGTAATCTTTGTTTTGTGTAATTTTTAAAATCTTTTTCAGGAACCTCAAAATTTTGTTAAAAATCTGACGACAATGCGGTGCCATAAATTAGTACAGGAAATCTGAGCGTATTTTTTGTGATGAAAAACATTGATTTGGAAATTCTCGCAAAAATCAGATAGTTGATGGATCTTAATGAAACTTTCGAGGTTTCTTTGCGAATGAATGAAATTATTTTTTAATGTTTCTATTTTAGAAAATCTTTAAAAATTATTTTTTTTTTACATTTGTTTCCGACACTTATTTAATTTAATGAAATTTAAAAATTATTTTTTTTTTAGAGCTTAATGTTTATTTAGTCATAAGGAAAAATCGCAGGAGAATTTAAATCATAACATTTTGGGTGTCAAACAGAAACCCAGTTACAGGAAATCTGCTTTAGATCATAAAATAAAAAATGTAAACTAAAACATTATTTAATTGGGCAATTAGTTGGAGATTCGTCTCCAGCTATTCTGGTCGAACTCTCTGCCTTCGGACAGAAAAGAACCCAGACGAAGGGCAGATCTCGTCTGGGGTAGTAGACAGCTACACGACCCTGTTTTTTACAGGGGTCCTTCCCGCATTAAAAAGGCCTTGTGCCACATTCTGCCTCGCGGGGAGGTAAGGTAAATAGCCATTTAATTCGAAATGCTTTTAATCACTTTTATGTATAAAATGTTTTATAAAAATAATTGTTTTATAAACATTATTGTTTTATAAACATTATTGATTTATGAAAAATCATTTTTTCGGTGAATAATGAATTTTTATAAGAATTGTTTTCATTTTTAAAAGATTTTAGCTAGAATAATCTATAAAGTTTTAAATTTTGTATTAATTTGTAGTGACCAAATGATATAGTTATAAAATAAAAACATTTACTAATCATAAATGAAAAATCTTACTTAATTTAAGTGATCCCACTATTTTAAAAAGAATTTTGGATGTTTTGCGTGTCTTATAAACGTGCTGATTTTTGTAAATACAGACGCCCATACACGATATTTGAAAATAAAAGCGGCAACTATAGTAAATTTAAAATTTATTGATAATTTTCTAATTTTTCCTCAGGAAGCGTCTTTGTAAGTAAGTACCTAAATTTCAATAAAATATTAAAAAATATATACATATATATAATTTTTTAAAGATTACTGTATATTTAAAAAACAAAAAAAAAAAAAAGTATATAAAAAGGCGTTGACGTTGTATAAGTCATTTAATTTTCCGGCAATTATTTCTCCTTATATAAATCTCACAGACACCAGGTTATCAATAGATATGTCAACACCTCATAGAAACATCGACGTCGGTGTAAAAATGCTTTTCTGCGATATTTAAAACTAAAAGTAATATTGGTTTTAATTAAGATTAATTAAACATTAAATATTAGTAATTCCTGCATATTTAAAAATCTACCATTTTTCCGTGCATTGAATTTGTCATATCTGGTCTGGGGCTCCTGGTATTTATTTCGAGGTTCTTGACAATATCCAAAGATGGATCTGCAATATAATCGATCCTGACTTGGCATCCCGACTTCAGTCGCTTTCGCACCGACGTGATGTGTCTTTTCATGGCAACTGCTTTGACGAGCTTTTTTTTCTGGTGCCCGACTACATGAATTTAAGTGTGCTAATAGATTGGCATCTAGATCCCACCCTTTTATTGTTGGAATAGCTAAATGCAACCGCTATTTCTATTCCAACAATTTCTTTCCTCGGTCTTCTTGCCTGTGGCTTCCCGTTACTTGCTTCCCTGATGATTACAATCTTCAAAAATTTAAATGCAACGTAAATCTCCATCTTCCATCTTCTTGATTCCCGTTCATGTTTTGTCCTTTCCTCAATGCACACTATACTCATTTTTTTCTCTCACTGTCACTCCCTGTAACCCCCTGCGTACTAGGGGGCGTTCCCGCTTTGCTTGGCGTGAAATGATTTTAAAAATTTCAGTAATATCAAAATCCGCTACTCAGAGTTTCATGTGCTGACAATTACCAGGCGGTAATAATTAATAACGTTATTAGATTATCTTTAGGCATTTGTTGACCATGACACTGAGCCCTCAGTTTATTTTATAATTTAAGCTTTTATTCTGATTATATATATATATATATATATATATATATATATATATATATATATAATATATAAAGTCCGATATAAATATTTTAACAAAAATCCGACAAATTTTTATGTTTTTATATACGTTCTTTTTTTATAGATACAAATATTTAAGTAAATGCTCTGTTTATAATAAACAATATCAACGAGCATTTACTTAAATATTTGTATCTCTAAAAAGAACATATAAACATAAAAGA